ACCTCCAATACCTCTATACCTCTAATACCTCTAATACCTCTATACCTCTATACCTCTATACCTCCAATACCTCTATAACTCTATACCTCCAATACCTCTATACCTCTAATACCTCTAATACCTCTATACCTCTATACCTCTATACCTCCAATACCTCTATAACTCTATACCTCCAATACCTCTATACCTCTAATACCTCTAATACCTCTATACCTCTATACCTCTATACCTCCAATACCTCTATAACTCTATACCTCCAATACCTCTATACCTCTATACCTCTATACCTCTATACCTCTATCAGATTATTTTCTTCAAATTCTTTTTTTTATTTTAAATGAATTTGCCGCAAATTCAAATACCCCATTACCTCCATTTTAGTCTAAAAATGTGGTTCTATATCTAAAAAACTTTGCTCTACAAAATGGAATAACTTTCATCAAAATCTAAGACTATCGATTGAGCAGCTATATTGGCATTTAGTCGTCTCTCTCGTTCAGTGACACATATGTGCACTACCTTGATAAGTGCAAATGTTGAATCAAATGTTATTCTTCATTTCCACTTACTCACACCTGAATCGAAATATGAATAGCAACATAGCGAATATTTGTCCTCATTGTCCTCCTCTTTTCGTTGGGGAGAGTGATCGATTGTATGCAACAGTCTTCGCTAAAAAGTACGTGAGATAATGACGCACTTAGAGACGTCCTCCATACTGATGTATGCGCATGAAGAAATTATAAAAACATTAATGTTGATTCATTTGGTATATAAATGCAACAAACACCTGAGAAAAGAAACATATAAGAAACCAACTACGAATATGTCAATTCAAGTGACTTACAGTTTTTTCTTGATGATCGTTGTTCTTAACAGACATCTGACCATCACAGGTAGACTAAAACTAGTCCAAATCTAAATGTGAATTTGTACAATTTTGCTTTTTTTAAAGAACGACGTTGTCGTTGTCTTTCAAGTGATTCGATCTGTTGGCCAAATAGTTCTGTTTGGCAAAGATTCAATCAATCTATTGATGGACGTCTTATTTTACCTCTACCATCGGCTGCTGTGTGTCATTCTACTTCAGTGAATATCGACGCATGTAATACAGCCATTAAAAATTGGTCTAATTCGTCGTGGCGTAGCGATCAAGTGGGTGCGATGCAAAGTCCCAATTGGGAAAATAGTTCATGCTCAGTTTTTATTGAGAATCCGTCATGTAATCAAGGATCTGTACCTACTTTGGCTGTTAATGCTACACTACCTGAACACGTTGAGGCAACTGTTCAAATTGCCAGTACATATAATCTTCGTTTAGTGATTAAAACAACTGGTCACGATTATTTGGGTCGATCAACAGCGAATGGTTCATTTCTTCTTTGGCTTCATTATATGAAAAACATGACATTGATCGATCAATTCACAGCATGCGGTGATACAGTATCAAATGCTATTCGTCTCAGTGCAGGTGTTCAATGGGGTGAAGCATATGCATGGCTAAATCAATTTAATTTGACAGCAGTAGGTGGAGCATACGCAACAGTCGGCGCTGCTGGCGGTTACTTGCTAGGAGGAGGTCACAGTCCATTGTCACGTTGGAAAGGATTGGCCGCCGATAATGTTCTCGAATTTGATGTTGTAACGGCAAATGGACGACGTGAGACTGTGAATGCTTGTCATAACGCAGACTTGTTCTGGGCTTTACGAGGTGGAGGTGGTGGCACTTTTGCTATTGTACTCAATGTTGTTCTTCGTACTTATCCATCCCCACCTGTCATAGCTGTTATCTTGGACATGACCCCGCCGAATGAGATACGATATAACAATTTCATTAGTGACTTTGTTCACTTCTTGCCTACACTTGCAGATAGAAACTGGTCCGGCTATTTTTCTTTCCTTGATCCAAACATTGTCATCGTATTTATATTGCCGAATGGAGATGCAAACGTGGCTAATTCAACATTTCATGAACTGCTTCAGAACTATATCGATTTCAACTTCACATTGAAATTTCTTTTTTCGATGCCATCATTTAATGTTTTCTTTCATAACATATTGGCACCATCCAATGCAACAGGCGCAAATATCTTGCTCGGCTCGCGTCTCATTCCTGGAAGAATTGTTCGTCACAAACCCCATAAAGTTGCACGAACATTTATTGACGTCAGAAAGCGAAGGAAAAATAAGGCATCACTGCTCGGACATCTGGTAGCTGGTGGACAGGTATCTAACATGAATAATAATAATAGTGTTAATCCAGCATGGCGTACGGCTCTTATTCACATGATCTACGCAATTGGATGGCCCGATTTGACCTCCGAAGAGCAGCAACAAGCAATTGCTAAACATGTCACAAGTCAAGTAGAAATTTTGCAAAGAGTTGCAGGTGGTGATCGATCTGGTTGTTATATGAACGAAGCTGATCCAAATGAACCGAATTGGCAACAGAAATTCTTCGGTACACAAGCGATTTATGATCGACTCAAATCGATCAAAAATTCTGTGGATCCACTTGGACTATTCATTTGTAGGAATTGTGTAGGCAGTGATGATTGGTCATCCGATCTCAATTGTCCAAAGACATAAAATACTGCTAAACTTGATACAAAAAGTTATTTTTAATAATGATGATCTTTCTATAAGCCCATTGAAATATAGAAAAACAAAAAAAAGAAGGAAAATACTACCAGGTCGGAAAATAGAGCTTAGAAAAGAGCATTGTGTATAAGAAAGAGACAGTTATTTATTCGTCCCAATTATCTTCTTGATTGTCTGTCAGATCCTGTGATATGCCTCCAAATTTGTTTGAAAATGATGTTGTCGATTTATTTTCTATTGTCCGACCAGTGGTTGTTACATTGAACGAGGGTTGCCCAGAGGGTGTGGATGTGGGTCTTATCTTCACACGCACCCACACCCACACCCTTGCTGATTTTTAATTACATTCATAATTACTATTTATAATAATTAACGACTTAATTAGTTTCTAATTATCCACTTTCAATGATTAAAGTGAAGCACGTGTACGTACACGTGATATGTGTACTGTATGGACGTACAGTATATGGAAGAAGAGAGAAAAAAAAGACATCGAACTCGTAGTATGTGAAAAAGAAGAACGAGAAGGACGTATATTGCATAGTGCACACGTCATAACATATATTCTACTTGCAACTATACACCACACGTGCTCGTTATAATTCGAAAAGAAACGATCGATTGATGTCTCTTTTACCAACAAACCTCCGCTTATTTTCTCGTTTTCCATCGTTCATCCGCGCATCACGTGTGAACGCCACTACAGCAACTTATAACAAGATAAAGCCACCTCAAATTCCTGATCGAATCAATCGAAAATATGTGAAAGCAGGTGTTGTGATCATCGGCCTTGCTGGATTGTACGCCTTGTTCAGAGCATCAAGAAAAGAAGAGCAAATGATCAAACATAGCGCCGACGTTGAACCTCGATAAACAGTAGAAGAGCCGTTGAAATAAGCTTTTCATACGAACCGCTCGATCTTTTTTCAATAGAGTGAACTTCTTGCTTGTTGTATCAATTTTTATCCAATTTCACCATACATAACACAATATATTCTAGCATACTTGATCTATTTATTATCTTAATCGAGCCTCCAAATTTTCCTTTCGGAATGGAAAGTACTATTCATACATGTTTTTTGTTGTTGTTTTGATTTCATATAAAATATCTTAAAAGTTCTGAAATGAAAAGACAAAATAATAATTGTTACAGAATAAATATTGACGTTATTGGAAGCATATAACATACGGTGCAAAAGTCTTTGCACAAATGTTCGACTCTATTAGACCATATTGCCAACTTCTAAACCAATCAAATTTTTTTTTGTTGGAAAGAGCAATGTCTGAACTACAAATTTTGTACCAGACA